TTATGAAAGATGAACAGGGGTTGACCGAATTTCATTTGGGTGGTGAAAAAAGGCTGCTCTAAGGAAGTAGTATTTGATCTGAGACCTGAAAAAGAAGTTAGCTGGGCCACGAGCCATAGAGAGTCCTCCAGGTGGAGGGAAGAGCAAATGCAAAGACCTCGGCCGCAGGGAAGGGCCGTATAGACCATCAGAGCTTAGTGTGTCCAAAGAACGGAAGAAATCAGCACGTCTGGAACCTAGTCGTGAGGGAGGGGCACGCGATGAGGCTGGAGGAGGGATGGATTTGTGAAGATAATGCCGGCTGCTGGAGCAGACCGAAACTAGGTGCTAATCCAGGTCACACAGGCACTCATTCCATGTAGAGAACAAAATGGGTATTCCTGAGCACCAAACAGCTCCTGTCCAAGTGGTGTTTGGGGAACCACGGCTTCTTCCATCTCGTGGCCCTGCCATGTTTAATGAGCCGCCGAGGCCGGTCTGCTTGTCTGCATGGAAGGTTGTGCACAGGAGACTTTTCTGGGCCCAGGGCTGCCTGGGAGTGTGCCGGCACAATCTAACGGCAAGGGGGACCACGAAACACGGTGGGACTGTGATCCGTGGGAGGAGACAAAGCCGGTGAGGCAGGCTGGGAGCACACCTGCCGTAAATCCCTCACCGCGTCTACACCGACATGTCCGATTGCTCATGTCTCACAGTGTGTCTAAACCTACTTCACCATCCCCCTCAAAAAGCAGCCTCGCCCTCACTTTCTTCTTTCAGTGGTGCCATTCCAGACCTAATAGTCACCTTTTCTCCTGCTCTGTTGGTCACCTAGGCTTTCACTCTACCTCCCAGTTTCAGCTCCTGCCCGTTGAGGCTCTTTGTTGGGTCTTCTGCTGTCCTGACCCAGCATGCTCATTTGCAGGGTGGACTGTCCTCTCCCAGTGACAGTCTTTCCCAGCTGTGATGTTTTCCCAGTCTCGAGTCATCTGAGAAACTTAATAATCACATCATATGAGTTTGGAGATGAAGCTTTCTAAAAATGTGCCTTTCGTTTCTGCTCAAAAAGTTGTGACTGGGGTTTCCAGTTACCTGCTGAAAAAAGTTCTCACTTCTGTAGTTTGGGAGAAGGGATTGGACCCATCCCTTCCAAACTGTTCTTACTGTGTCCCCCCCTGCAGCCAGCCAGGATGCCTGACTGTCCTCCAGAGTCAGCACAGATTTAGCGACTCCTGCCTCGTGCTCTTCCCCTCTGCCTGGGGCACCCTCTTCCTCTCCGTCCACCGCCCTGAATCCTACCAGTCCTTCATTGCCAGCCCTGGTTCCCAAGTCTTACCTCCCCAAGGAAGCTTTCTCTGGAAGCTGTGTCTGGAATTCTCTGCCACTCCCCACAGTCCTTTGCACAATGGCTTGCAAATGCTTGGTGCTCAATTAATGCTTAAATTATTTCAGTTATGTGCCACTCCTTTGGTACTCGTCACGTATTGCCTTTTATTGACATCTGTCTTCCAGTTAACTATAAACTTCCTAAGTAAAGATACTTTCTCCATATCTAACATTGTACCCTGGCACATCCTCAAAAAACCTAATTAATTAATGCTTTTCTGTAATTCCTGTGACACCTTGCACAGTTCCTTCCACATAGCACGTGTTCAAAACAGTCTTGCTGGGTTTCTTCTTGTTGTTTTCATACATGATACCTTCATAAATGCAAAGCTTCAGTTGGCTCAGGGGGAATGCTTTTGCTGGGAATTCCAGCCCCATAGAGAGACCGTCAGGCAAAATATTGGGTGGGGAGTCGAGATTGCCAGTGACTATCTAGCCCTCTGTAGACAGCTTCCTGTTTTGCTTCTGCCCAGCTCTAGGTTTGTCATGGAGTGTTGAGCTGCAAATACTCCTACTTCCCTATTTACAATGCTCCTTTTCCAAAAAGGGAAAAGAAGAAGGAAAAGAAGAAGAAGAAGAAGGTGTAAGGGGGGTAGGAGTTGCCCTGGGTATCTTTTTAAATTTTCCATGTGACACATTATACTAGAGCCAGAAGACAGCATTGAAGCAATCAGCCGTATTTTCAGAATTTACTCTGGCTCTGTGGGGTTTCGTTCGCCTAGATTACCATCCTGCAGTAGCTGAGCCCCCCGATATGATAGGAGGCCCCTCCATTCCATTTCCAAATCTACCTGATCCTCAACATTCTTGAGTCAGATAGAAAATTCAGTTCTGTCTTGTTTTTCTCTGTATCTTAATTGGTTTTCCATATGCAGGTCTCAGAAGTGGGGCTTAGCTCTGCCCATCATCCCTTAATGTGAGCGGACTAACACTGGTACCAGGGAAAGAGAAGTGACAGCAATGCTTAGCGGCAAGTCCCTCCCACCTGCTTCAGGCTTCAGGTAGAGAGCAGATGACCGATAGGGAGAGAGTGTCTCTCCAGACTGGGATGGCCAGCACTGGGTCAGATGCTGCCCCTTCTGTGAGCTACTTCCTGAATGTGTGTGGGGTTCCTGGCGGCCAGCACTCTTCAGGAAGGACGTTTGGGATAATGGGTGTGACTGTTAGCACCGGGTTTTTAGAGAGAACACTGGGGCTTCGGGAATCCTGGGATGTCTGCCTGTTGGAATCCTGAGTCAAGCTGCCAGCTTCAAATCAGCATCTGCAAATTCGTGAGCGTTGAAGGCAGGTGCTCTCTGGAACCAGCTCTTCCCAAGTAGGTCTGAGGAGTTGGTGGCAGCTCTTTGACCCTTCGTTCTCACTAAATCAGTTGCAGAGCAAAGACCCCCATCTTTGCTTACCTTCTCACATGCGCTTCTAGTTTTCCTTGGAAAGAGAGACTGTGTTCTGAGTGCTGGCTCATGGGAGACCCTGATAGCCTCAAAATATAAAACATCCTTCGTTTCAACCAGGCTGCTGCCAAGAACGAGGGGAGGCTAGAGAGAGCTGTCTCAAATGTTTGCTTTTTTGCCTTTGGCAGGCAGCACCTTGTGGTCCTCATTTGGGTGATTACAGGGTTTGTATAACATGTGGGGCTTTGGGCTGTGGAGGAGCAGGGCTGTGGAGGGCTGTCCTCGGAAGAATACCAACTGGCTTGAGCTTTCTGCGCTGTAATCGTTGGCACTGCCGCCCCAGCCTGAGCTCCCGGGGTCAGGAAGGGCAGCATCACCCACCTGCCCAGAGAGGCCAGGCCCACTTGACAGCCATCACAGGCTGATTCCATGGGCAGGGCCCCCTTTCCAAAGTAAGTATTAAATTAGCATTTTTTTCTTCCTTATCCAAAAAAAATGTGCTCAGAGCCTAGACACGTCTTTCCTGCACACTGGAATATGAACAGTACAACACAGGAAGAGAGAGGCCTTCAGCAAGGCATTTTGGAACATGAGGCTTTGCGGTTGGGATTTCACTAGATGCCATGGAGGGGGGCGGGGGAGGCTTTCTCCTTTCATCCCCCGCCAGAAAACAGACAATCCATCCTGGTTCATGCTCATCATCTTAATCACAAGCTGAAGAGGAATATTTTTGGTTAGCTTCCCTTTTTTTATATATACACAGTGCCTATTTATAGCTATTTGCTAACGGACTCTACCAATTACTTTAAAAACTTGTATTTAGAGAGAGACGAACCAAACACGTGAATGCAGAGCAGAGCCATAGTTCTGCCTTGGATTAGCCTGTTGTGGGGCAGGTCAAAATAGAGATGGTAGTTGGCACATGATGACGTCAGAACTGGACATGATCATCTGTTAGGACTTTAACTGGGGGATGATTAGAGAAAAGGCACGCTCTTCTGTCTTGTCTGTGTTATTACAAGCTTGCTGGATCCCGTGTGCATGTTTATTCTGGGCACTGTGTGTTGCAAGCCCATGCAACTGCTGTCTCCACAGTCATCTCTGACATCCTCTTCGCCACATCCAGTGCTCTTTCCCTGCATTCTCGGACTTTCCTTCTCTCTGACAGTAACCATTTCCTCCGGGGAATATTTCCTGTGGCTTCTGAGGCATTTTTCCAGTCTCACTCCTCTTCCTCAGTCTTTCCGCGGCTCCTCCCCTCTGCTTTGCCTTTCAAATGTTGGTTCTCTCCAGGGTTCCATACTCCACCGCTTTGTCTTCTCATTCCACATGTTTCTACCACTGTCACTACAACAGGAGGATGTGGAGATAAGGCACCCAGCTTGGGGGAGGGGGGGTCCGGGATTTGGCCATGTGTAGGCTACATGAGGGAGGAGCTTTCTTTTTTTTTTTTTTAAGATTTTATTTATTTTATTTTTGAGACAGAGAGAGAGTGAATCTGTACAAGCAGGGGGAGCAGCAGGCAGAGGGAGAAGCCTGCTCCCCACCGAGCAGGCAGCCCGCTGCGGGGCTCGATCCCAGGACCCTGAGATCATGACCTGAGCCGAAGGCAGATGCTCAACCGACTGAGCCACCCAGGCGCCCCTGACGAGGAGCTTTCTATAAAGCTTCTTATGGGCAGATACACAGGATTTCTCTGCCTGCCACGGCTACCCCTCCCCCTGGGCACAGGCTGAAGAAAGGCACGGTGGCTCATGGGGGCCCCGGAAAGGAGGTGGAGTCAGAGAGAGTATCTGTACTGTTGTCCAGGGGGGAGGGGGGAGGGGCAAGCTGAAGCGGTTGAGGCTGTGTTGATGATGAAGGCCAGAAGTAGAAGAGGGATGTCCAATTCCCTGTCTACAAATGCAGGATTGCAAGGTGATTGAGGGGCAGCACGTGCGTTCGAGGCCAGACGGCTGGGCTCCGGCCCCATGGTGGCCTGGGCAGGTCAGCCTGGGTTAGAGGCACGGGCAGTTGGACAGAATGAAGAGCCGTCTGGGTAGGAGATAAGATTTTGGAGCCTAGGATACCCAGAGGAGTGTGGAGAATTGAACTCTAAAACATTTTAGAGATGAACAGAGAAAGAAGAAAAAGCCAAGGCGGCTAAAAAGCAGTGTCAGGTAGAAATAAGAACCAGCCCTGATCGAGCACTCTCTCTGTGCCAGGCATTGTGCTTAAGTGCTTTGCATGCATGTCCTCATTTAGAGACTGAAAAGGAGGAAGACGTCATAAGGAGAAGAAAATTTCAAGATGACAGCCACGCCCCCCTCCCTGGATCATCTCTGTCACACGTTATCTGTCCTGTTCATCCTGTCCTTTAGAGCCCAGCTCAGTGAGCACTGCTTTCCTGATCCTTCCAGGCAGTTTGTATCTCCTCTGGAATCACCTGGCACTTTGTACATTTTATTCACTCAGCCCACAAATGTTTATTCCCCTGTTTAGAGTTTATGGTGTTTAATGACATTATTTTATTATTATCTTCTGGACTCTAGTTTATTCATTCTAAAGACTTAGGATCTAGCACGTGGAGTGATCACCAAAATAAATATTTATTTAATAGGCAAATGAATCAGCAATATAAAATAGTACATTTATTCAAGATTCAGTTTGAACCAAAGTATGAGAAGCTCTCTCGACAACACGTTTCGGATAGATCCTGCTACACTTCCTGGGACAGTCGGGGACTGAGGATTCACTGAATGCTGGTTTCCTGTTGTTTGGGTTTCCAGTGCCCCATTGACACTCGGATGCTAGATACTAACCCACTGTTGGAGTTCCCTCTAACCCAGGCACACACACTCTCTGAATACTCATTATGCATAATTCAATAATGATTAACATTTGAACTCTGTCTAGGCTGAGCAAGCCACATCAAAGCTCCTTTTTCATTAGGACTTTTAAAATATCAAATATGGACTGAATGAATAAGTGTTGGAGAAACTGACTTTGTAAACTGACAATTGTAAGCCCAGATTCATTTGAAATATGTCATGTGGAGGGCATATGTAAAAATTATGAGCATTTTGATTTTTCCCTTGTAGGTAATAAATAACATCTGTGATATTCCTCCTCACCTTTTTCTGATTAGCTTTATGTCTGGCATATTTTCCCCAACACTCCTGTTTCGTGTTGCAAGGATTTCGCCAGGGAGAGACAGGATCCTAAAGTAGTGTGGGTGTAACAGAAGCCTTGCAGCAATCAAGTGTAAGCCCAGAAATAAGGGGCAGGATGAGTTTGGTGGCGAACCTTTAAGGCTCCTCAGGCCTCTCCATGTTACCTTTCCCGGGGGGCGCACAAGAGCTGCATAGGCCCTAAGGATGGGAGTACCCCTGAAGGGCAAACAGCACGTGGCCCACAAGCCAGCTCCACCGCACTCCAGGGCTGGCGTGGCTCCCTAGGGCCCCTCGCTCCGCACCTGTGCCCACGTGGGGGCATCCTGCAGAGCGGCCTGCGCCACTGGCTTTCACCCCGGGGTCCGTGGAGCCCGAGGGGTCCTCTGGGAACTGCTGACAGCGAATCCAGGTGGAGGTTGGACAACTCTGCTTTTAGCTGTTTTGTATGATGAGCAGCTGCATACCGTTTGTTTGGAGGGAAGCGCCGTGTCAAGACGGTTGCCAGCGTAGTAGGGGCTGCTGCTGAAGATGGGGGTTTCGGGTCACTGAAGCTGACAGACAGCCAGGCAGCCAGTGTTGGGCAGGCTGAGCCTGCCAGGAGGCCAGTGCTGAGCTTGCCGGGCTCAGGGAGCTGTAGTTAAGTCCTGAGGTGACTGTGGGCATGTCGGCTGAGCCCAGTGGACCGCCAGAATTGGGAATCCCTGCTCTTTCACCCTGTTTTCACAATGTTAACCAGACATCTCGTTTAGCATACATAACTTAGGTGGTATTGCCATGTTGTTTTTTTCCACACAATTTTCTTTTTTCATTCATTTTAAAACCACTTTATTATTTTTTTAAAGATTTTTATTTTTTTGAAAGAGAGAGAGAGAGTGCACGTGCATGCACAGGGGCAGAGACAGAGGGAGAGGGAGAGGGACAAGCAGACTCCACACTGAGCACAGAGCCTGACTCGGGGCTCGATCTCATGACCCTGAGATCATGACCTGAGCCGAAATCAAGAGTCAGATGCTGAACTGACTAAGCTGCCCACATGCTCTTTCCTGAGACAAACCACTCTATTAAGATATGATTGACATACAGAAAGCTGTGCATATTTAATATTTACAACTTGATGAGTTTTGAGACCATTGCCACAATCTGTGTCATATACAAACTCCAGAAGTTTCCTTACACCCTGTTATTGTTATTTTCTTATGTGTATATGTGTATATAGGTGTGATAAGAACACTTAACATAAGATCTATCCTCTTAGCAAGTTTTTAAAGACACAATATAATATTAACTGTGGTCACTGTGCTCTACAGTAGAATTCTAGGACTTATTCATCTTACATAACTGAAACTCTGTGCCCTTTCACTACCCCATTTCCCCGTTCCCTCGTCCCCACGGTTTTCTAATAATATCTCGTTCCTGTGGTAGCTGGTCCAGGTTTCACGGTTGTTACAGGTTTGGGCAGCTGACCATACCTTGATTTTGATGGCTGTCAATCAAAGGCCATAGGTTGAACCTAAATTGAAGTGATTTATTTCAATTGGTCAATTAGTTTATCCATGTAGCCAGTCGTATGGCAACTGCTGTGGGAATTCAAGAGACTTGTATTTTTATACTTACAATGAATGCAGAGAACGCTCACCACCCCAGGATCTCATTCCATCCTCACAATTGTCCTGTGAGGTAGGCATTATTTTTCTCCTCATTTTACATATAGGAAAACAGGAATTCAGAGTGGCTAAATGACTTAATGGATTATTCATTCTAAAGGCTATTAAAATTCACAGTGGTTTCTCAGGGTTCCTTCTCAGAACTAGCGAGTAATAATAATAGTATAAGGAATGCTGCTGGTAAATTCCTAACCATTCTGTAAACCCCAGCTTGCAAGCTGCCGGAGCCATACCTATGGCCAGTAGGGGCTGTTTCCATCTCTGAAAATTGAGTAAAAGTTTCAGTAAAGCATCAGCTCAGAGTGTGGGGTTCTAGCTATTGTCTTCTTGGGAACTATTTTTAGAGAAAAACTTGTATTTTTAGATCTAGAATGACTTTCAAAACAAGAGTCAAGGCAACAATGAACACATTTGCATCTGGGTACATAAGTCCTTACCAGACAGCGAGATGAGAGGCAGCTGTGGCCTGAGCCCACAGTTTTCAGGACGTGTCAAGCCATGAGCAGACTAGAGATCTGACCCACATGTGCGCCCAGAGCGCCCATCCAGATGGAGCCCAAATGCGCTGAGGGGGACGTTCAGGCCATGGGCAGTGGAGCTCAGACCAGCTGACACAGTAAGGACCTCAGTGACTTGAACTGCCCTTTGATTTGGGGCTCCTTTGAACTTTTCTTGGATTGAGCCATGAGGAAATTGGCCAGCCAGTCAAATGTTGAGCATAAACAAAACTTTGGTGTTTTAATAACGAGGCACATTTGGCTCATGTAATAAACTAACACATTTGCCTGTTCATTAAAAAAGACAACCTGACAGGATTCCATATTTAAAAATACCTTGGGGGCGCCTGGGTGGCTCAGTTGTAAAGCGTCTGCCTTCGGCTCAGGTCATGATCCCGGGGTCCTGGGATCGAGCCCCGTGTCGGGCTCCCTGCTCTGCGGGAAGCCTGCTTCTCCCTCTCCCACTCCCCCTGCTTGTGTTCCCTCTCTCGCTGTATCTCTCTCTGTCAAATAAATAAATAAAAAAAAAAATCTTTAAAAAAAAATATATACCTTGATCACCAAATATCTGGGAAAGCTGGGGTTTTCCCCACTTAGCCCAAGTGAGTACGTTTTGCTCAAAGTACAAGTGCATATGCTGTAAAAGTCCAAAGACGGCCTCCCAGCATCAAGAGAATAAAATGGGTCATTAGAGGTAGAATAAACTTTTAGGCTGGTCTTTGTAAATTATAAACATGATCAAAAACAGAAAGGGCTCAGTAGAAATGAAGGACAGCTCATGCAGCAGGGCAGAAAAGGGACTAAAGCCTAAAGTAGCAAATTAAAGCTTCACTATTAATGCTTTCTCCCCCTAACCCTGTTCAAACTCCAGGACATATGTGTAGGGGAGCAAATATAGGTCCTCTCCAGACCTAGACTGGAGGCGTGGTTTGTTTGGTTAGGATTTTAGCTTAGGGTGTCTTTTTTTTTTTTTTTTTTCTGGTGTAATAATGACTTCTGCCTACTTTTCTCCTCTTTATAAGGTCTTCAGTAAAAGAGGATATAAAAGAAAAAAACCTATCTTATATTGGTAATAGCTACCATTTGGTGACCATCATTACTAGCCATTATTACCTATTTCATAGAGTTCTTGCAAGGATTAATGAGTTAATATACATAGAACACTTAACACAGCATTCTGTAAGCATGTAGTGAGTGCTTCTAAGTATGAGCATTATTACCTTTAATGTTGACAATGGTAATACAACATACCAGATACTGTGCTAAGCACTGGATATGCCTTCTCTCACCTGCTATTACTATATTACCTTTATATAGTAAACTGAGGCATGGGGAGTTAGGAGAGTTGCCCAAGATTGCACAACTCGTATGAAAACCATTTATTGTGCATTTACTATCTGCCGGATGTAGTGCTAATGAGCGTTTCCAGTGTATCCACACATTTAGGCCACACAACAGTCCTGTGAAATAGATGATATTATCCTCATTTTGCAGATGAGGGAATGTAGGTCTAGGGAGATCAGCTAACCCCTAAGCTCACACAGCCAGTGAATAATGGAGCTGAGATTTGAAGCCAAGCAATCCTGCTCCAGAAGGGCCCGCTGTGTCCTGCCATGCGCTGTGGCCTTCTGGGAGACGGGTGGTCAGGGGCCTCACTGCAATCACAGGCCCTCTCCTCCTCCTGATTATCATCCCTTGCTGTACTTTCCTCAGACTCACAACATTAACTCTTCCCAAGCCGCATTCTCCAGCCACACCCAACGCATACTTGAACAACATCCCAGAGAAGAAGAGACCCAGACCATCCCCTTCACCCGTGTGCACTGATGCCTGGGACTCCTCCCTACCCTGCCTTATTTTGTCTAGCCATGAAAACTTTGTTTTCTACGAACTTTCCTCTTATTTGCAAGTCAGCTAACATGTTTATTTTATTTAAGCCTTGTACAGTTAAAAGCCTCAAGGGTTATACATCAAAATGTTAACAGCAGCTAATAAATTTAGAGATAGTTTAAATTTTCCTGTTCATACGTTTTTGTGTTTCCAACTTACATACAAGAAACATAGAAATTACGTAGAAAAATAATGTATTTTATAAAATAGAGTCCTAGGCTGTATTGGACGGTGTTTCCAAAGAGTGATGAGGATGCATTCATTGTACAGTCAAGAGAACAAGGTTGCCTTTCATGAACACCAGAAGATCAGAAGTATCCCCTGGCACTGTTCAGTCCCTTTCCCATTGGATGAGTCCATCACCCACCACTAATTAGTATCTTTCCAAT